TTTGACAAATTGAGTGACTGAACAAAGGGACCGGTAAAGTATGCAATAGTACTTTGTAGTCACTAAATTACTAGTTGATGGGACAGGCAGGGAACTGAAGGAAAGGTAATGTGATGGAACCCCCCTGGAAGTCGGAAACAATTCAGATGAAGAGATTAAGAGCAATGGGAACGGAGAGGTCTTCCTGATTCATGCAGAAAAGCCTCACTTCTTCCCAACTCCATTCAGATTCTGTTGTGGAGCCAGCGCCCTGCTGCGCATAAAGGCTGCCCTAGGCATGAGAAGGAGGGGACTAATTCGAGAAACAATAGTTGAAAGTCTCATTGCTCTAGGAAAGTTCAATTTCTGTATATTCACAATGAGCTGGGGAGATGCAAAGCATGGCCAAGAATGCACCCGCCCCTTTTGCCCTGTAAAAGGTTTTGAAGATGCCATTAGAATAATGTCAAGCAACATTACTTATAGTCGCTGATGCTGGTGCAGTACAACCTGGAGAGGGAGGGGGAACTGTTGATTTCCTAAAGGGAAGGGGAGGGGAGTGGGAGACAGCCATGAATGAGCATTGAAGCAGAAATCTCCATCTTGCTCCCATGCAAACATGAACAAAGATTGGCTCCCCCCTCTTCTCCCCCCATCCATGTTGTAACTGGCTGTTGCAGGCACCCGCATTATGTTTCAGTCGGAAGCTTTCAGGTTCAAGGATTGTTAATGGTTCCTAATTGGTAGGACGTTCCCTGTAACTTTGAGCTTGTCCTTGCAGAAGAAAGAAAGGAGGCAGAGGTGGCAGGAGGATGCAAAAAGTTCCTAAGGTTGCAACAACTGTTTTGAGAGCCCTGGATATTAGTTTCCTGCATGGCACTCTTGCTTTCTATGGGATCTAAACTGCAGGAGCCAGCGAGATAGGAAACTCCGAAATGGTGGTCCTTATCAATACAAAGCTTAAATCCTTGATCAAATTTTTCAAGAAAAAGAGTAAGTAGCCAAGACTTTCCAGTCTATTTAGATTGTTTGCAGATAGGCTAAATGCAATGTTAATGAGTTTTGTGGGTTTTTTTTGTTTGCAGAGTGTGTATAGTTTGTTGTGCTGTTGTGCATAAAGCATGTTTTATGGAAAGTGATGTAATAAGCACCTGCTATTGTTACAGAAGCAGCAGTAACAGTACTAAAACTTTTGAGTCTCAACCTCTTTGTTTTCTCTGGAGTCATCCTTGGAAAAGTAGCATCACTTTTTGGATGCAGTAAAATGATAGAGATTGAAGTTTTGGTTTAGGTGAAATGACTGTGGCAGTAGAGATGCTCAAATGGTAGTTGAGTCTTCACCTGCATCTCTGGATGTGCATAGATAACTACAGGTAAAAAGCTAATTCTGAATCCTTGCTTTATTACTCTGGAACAAGCGTAAACATTTTAATGGTTTCAGTCCAAATAGATTCTCAGGCAGCCTTTGTTTAGAATGGCAAACTAATGTGAGCTTAACATGATAGCAGTATGCATCCATACTCTTGAAACAAAGGTACTTCAATGTAACTTGATACATCAAGATTAGAACAATGTGGCCAGGCTAATATGACTCTGCACACAGTGTGCTTTTCATCTTTGTAAGCTGTTTCTTCCCTGACAGTTGTTTAATAGAATTTTCATTTTCTGTAAAACTGGGAATGATGGATATGATCATGTGGATACCTTCTCCTTTTCATTATCTTTTGGCATTGACCTGTGGTTAGGAAGGAGAAAGAAGTTAGCCATGTCTTGTGTCAGCATAATCTTCCTTGATTCATGAGGGGTTTCTGATCAAATCCTATATAACAAATGTAGGTGACTTTAGAGTTCCTCAAGCGCATCCTGCTGAACCATTATAAAGTTGGACATGCTTGAAGAATTTGAGGCGAATCTTATCTCAGTCATATCTGGATATAGGAATCGAAGGTTTAAAGGGATGATCTTATACACAAGACCATGCAGCATATATAGTAATAGCCATTATTTTGGCTAAAATGCCTATAGAAGGCATAAATAATAAATAATGACCATGATTGGTTTGTTTGATGTGGTTCCCTCCCTTCCCAGCAAAATAAATGTGTTTTTTTTATTCACCTGCATTCTTTTTAATATATTGCTTCAAAGGTATATAGCGATTTAAGCTGTTACCAGAGGGACAGACAACATTGGGCAATGATAGGATTTGCTATCTTAGTTATGAAAGTACATCTCATGTAGAAAGTCTCCTTTGGTTAGGTTTTTACTCACTTGATCTTATGAGGAGAGTTTATGGTTTTGAGCAGTTGGGACTTCACATAGTTGGAACAACTTCAAAAAGGTTTTTAAAATGTTGAAAATCTGTTTCCATGAAACCGCTGGAGAAGCACAATCTCAGTACAGAGCATCAAATGGTTATGAACAGTTAGGTAATATACGGGGTTGAGGGTGAGTTCACGTGAGAATAACAGGTGTTTCAGGGGAATGGGGGAAACGTAGATATTTGATTTTCTTTGTTTTGTTTTGAAGCACAGAGAGAGAATAGCATGTGGGTGAAAGACAAATTCACCTGGGGAATTAAACACTTTCTCTGGCCTCTCCCTTCCCTCTTGGACTAATCACATGTTTTGCTACCACAGAAGGAAGCAAAATGCTGGTGAAAAGCTAAGCATGAAGACAGAAACAGCTCTTTGTTTTGATTCACTGATTTTTTGATAGGCTTTGGAAATGAAATGTTTATTAGATGATATACATAAGCATTAGATGTTGGGATTTTGAAAAAGATTGCAGGGTGTTCTGCTTCTAATTATGGTTGCACCCTAATGTAAATAAACCCATGAAGGGCAGGGTCACACACAACAGTGTAGTGCATGGCTGTTTATGGAGTGAAATGCCCAGGGTGTAGCTTCAGGGCAGGCAACATGAAGGCATTACCCCTGATAAGAATTCTCTCTCCACTCCTCTGCCACTAAGACATTTTCCTTCAGTTCCCATATTTCAAGTATTGTCATAATTTAAAATTTTAGTGGAGCATTTAGAAATGCTGTTTAAGCATTCAAACAAAGAGGACAATGATTTCAAGGAAATGTAAACACAGAAAATATAAATATTCCTGGGGTGGATAATTTTCACTGGTTTTCACTGTTTGAAAGTCACTGAAAGCAACTTCACAGTGAGAAATGGAGTGTGGGAATAGGTACACTCATAATTGCCCAGTCAGCTCCAAGGGATAGTGTTTTGTGTCTGTTGCTCTACACTAGGGATGAAGAAACTGTGTACATTTAGCCCACGTGTCCATTTTGTGACACCTGGTATCTCCCAAACATGTTTTGACCCAAAATTGTTCTTCCATGTCCTCCGGGTGCAGTTTCATGGATGGAGCCCCCAGTGGTGAAGTGGGTTAAACCCCTGTGCCTGCAGGACTGAAGACTGACAGGTCGCAGGTTCGAATTTGGGGAGAGCGCGGATGAGCTGCCTCTATCAGCTCCAGCTCCTCCAGCTGCAGGGACATGAGAGAAGCCTTCTGATGCAGAGTGGAATTCCAGGAAATGTAGTTTAGGGCAGGACCTTTTGACTTCCCTGCCACAGGGCTCCTTTCCTTCCCAAACTGCATTCCACAAAGTTCCATGCTCTCTCTGTCTCTTTTACTCAGCTTGTCCCACCCTACTGCTGATTCATTGTACACAACTGGTAGAGAACATCTGCTTTAGGGAGTGTAAGCTATGGAGAGCATGTTGTTCCAGTTTTTGCTCATTTGGACTGACAGTCAGTTTGCTTTCAGTGGCATTCCAGGTTCTATGTTTAAAGTTTAAAGCTCCAAATGATCTGGCATTCTGAAATGATTTGTTAAATTTTCATTCACATTCACTGAGATCAACTGGTGGAGCTTCCCTTGAGATCCGTCTTTTCAGGAGCTTAAGGCGGGAAGGGCCTGGAAAAAATATATTAGGGGTTGTACAAATATGGCAGAGCATCTGTCTTTGGGAAAACAGTTAAACACAGTCTATTATTTTTTTCAATATATGAAGACCTGGATATTTCAATTAGTTTTTACACGTGGCATGAGAAAAAAGTGTTGTGCAACATGTAATAGTAAATTATTATGTATTATATTGCTTCGTTTAAAAAAACACATCTTGTATTTTTTTTCAGGCTGTGCTCTCACTATTTGTAGTAATAAATAGTAGTGGGGGGCAAAATTACTCCCTTCCTGGCAAGATTAGATCAGCCCTCTCCCTTCTGTCCTTCAAAAGGATGGTAAAAAAAAAAAAACTTGGCTGTGGGACCAACCCTTTGGGACAATGCAGTAAGGCAGCAATAAGAAACCGTACCATGCCAACCAAGTTTGATGCAGATGTTTGAGACAGTTTTAAATAGTGGATTTTATCATCAAGATAAATGATTTTAATGCTTATGTATGTGTATAGTCTATCTATGTCCCGACACTGAATGTTTGTTATTTATATGTTGTGCTCCGCCCTGAGTCCCCTTCGAGGTGAGAAGGATGGAATACAAATGCTTTAAATAAATAAATACCATGGTTATGATTTAAAAAGCAATCAATCTTTTGGAATAACTATTTTCCCATCCCTTTCCATTGGTAAAGGTAAAAGTTTCCCCTTGACATAAAGTCTAGTTGAGTCCGATTATGGGGGGTTGTGCTCATCTCAGTTTTTAAGCCATTGAGGCAGCGTTGTCCATAGACACCTCCTAGGTGATGTGGCCGGCATGACTGCATGAAGTGTCATAACCTTCTCGCCGGAGCGGAACCTATTGATTTACTCACATTTGCATGTTTTTGAACTGCTAGGTTGGCAGAAGCTGGGGCTATCAATAGGAGCTCACACTGCTCCACGAATTTGAATCACCAACATTGTGGTCAGCAAGTTCTGCAGCTCAGCGTTTAGATCCGCTGTGCCACCATATGTCTGCGTCCCATTCCATATGTCTGTCTATCAAGTTTAATACTTTGATATTTTTGTTTACTAACAACATTGCATTCTGTCTTGGTGTCTCCTTCACAGCTGTCTCCAATCTAGACGAAGAGAGTAGATGGACAGTCCATTATACTGCACCCTGGCATCAACAGGAAAATGTGTTTCTACCTTCTTCAAGGCCAGCCTGTGTGGAGGATCTGCATCGCCAAGCCAAGCTGAATCTGAAGTCGGTCCTGAGAGGTAGGAATTTGACAATACTGGAAATAACGTTTCTCGTATACAGCATTTATCTGTGTCTCTGTGGTCTCTTATCTCCTTTTGAGTTTCTTAAACAATTCAAACCAATATTAAGAAAATATTAGATTAATATAACTGCAAAAATCTTAAAACAAGTGCAAACATATTTTCACCGTATCTCCATTATAGCTCAATGGGATCTACACTGTAGAATTAGTGAAGTTTGACACCACTTTCACTGTCATGGAGTCAGTTCTGTGGAATTGTGGGAACTGCAGTTTTACAAAATCTTTATCCTTCTCTGCCAAGAAGTGCTGTTGCTTCACCTGACTACAAAACCTAGGCTCTCATAACATTGAGCCATGCCAGTTAAAGTGATGTCTGACTGAATTAATTCCTCAATGCAAATGCATGGTGATTGTCCAAGAACAAATATAAGAGAAATAGAATCATAGAATCAAAGAGTTGGAAGAGACCTCATGGGCCATCCAGTCCAACCCGCTGCCAAGAAACAGGAAAATTGCATTCAAAGCACCCCCGACAGATGGCCATCCAGCCTCTGTTTAAAAGCATCCAAAAAAGAAGCCTCCACCATACTCCGGGGCAGAGAGTTCCACTGCTGAACAGCTCTCACAGTCAGGAAGTTCTTCCTAATGTTCAGGTGGAATCTCCTTTCCTGTAGTTCGAAGCAATTGTTCCGAGTCCTAGTCTCCAGGGCAGCAGAAAGCAAGCTTGCTCCCTCCTCCCTATGACTTCTTCTCACATATTTATACATGGCTATCGTGTCTCCTCTCAGCCTTCTCTTCTTCAAGCTAAACATTCCCAACTCTTTAAGCTGCTCCTCATAGGGCTTGTTCTCCAGAACCTTGATCATTTTAGTTGCCCTCCTCTGGACACATTCCAGCTTATCAATATCTTTCTTCAATTGTGGTGCCCAGAATTGGACACAGGATTCCAGATGTGGTCTGACCAAGGCAGAATAGAGGAGTAGCATGACTTCCATGGATATAGACACTATACTCCTATTGATGCATGCCAAAATCCTGTTGGCTTTTTTTTTTTTGCTGCCGCATGACATTGTTGGCTCATGTTTAACTTGTTATCCACGAGGACTCGAAGATCTTTTTCACATGTATACAAAGACATCGATTCTACACTGTAGGTATACAGAACATTAAAAAATACTCAGTTTCCTGGTAAGAGAACTGTTTGTTCTGCTCCATAACTGAAGTACATTTGTGTCTTACCAGATGGTTTTCACACAGATGTATACTACTTATACTTAAAACTCTTTTTGTATTCATATTGTAGCAAAATATGTTACTAACAAGGGGCAGAATTGAGGAATAAGGAAGGAGTATGTTAACATAGATACTACTTCATATTTAAGCCAGAGCAATAGATATATAGAAAGGAAAAAATAAGGAGAACCCTTAACTTAGAGTTGACCAGCCATTGACTTTTGCTCCAGTTTTATCAAACATTGCTCTCTATTCATTTAGCTCTAGTGCAGGCATGGGCAAACTTAGTACCTCCAGGTGTTTTGGACTTCAACTCCCACAATTCCTAACAGCCGGTAAACTGGTTGTGATTTCTGGGAGTTGAAATCCAAAACACCTGGAGGGCTGAAGTTTCTGCATGCCTGGACTAGAGCTAAATGAATAGACAGCAGTGTTTGAGCCTGCAGTAGATTATTTTGAAGTAGAGTCTTTGGAGCCTCAGACCAAAGACGTGAACTAATTCAACCCATCTGATACTAGTTAAGACCCAAACCAGGAAATATGCTTACAAGTGTAATTGTGTTAACATGGGTAATCCTCCCATTTGAATGATCCCTGTGATGAGATAAGATAGTTGTAAGTGGGGCTCAATCAAGAAACGTGGAAAAGAATAAATGGCTAGTGATACCTTTCCTGAGATTTGAATAGTAGCTAGTAGCCATGCTAGCTGGGAGATTCAGAGTGTTGCAATTTTCCAAGCTCTATGCGTTCACTCCTGGTCTGAACCGATTTGGTCACAGGATAATGAAAGCAATCGAATAAAGATGTAAACCAGTATTAAATATATAAAACAGGAGAGATGTGGGTAATGCTTTTTCTATTACCGCAGCTTGGATGTGGTTTCCGTTTTAACCTTGATCCAATTTCACATTTAATAAGTATGTTAAAGAGGCCAATTTTAGCCATAGAGAGTTGGATAAATGGATGGATAAACAGATACGCAGGCTCTTTGTTATCATGTGATACACTCCATATTGATTCTTCATGCTCAACTTACGTAGATGCCACTGGGATGTTGCTGGAGGGCTTGTGATGATTCATTACTTATGGTAGATTATTGGGACATTGGATTTGTAGGCTGGAGCTGGAGATGTTTTTTGTGCCAGAATTGGCCTAAGCAGAAATAATTCATTTGCTTGAATTAAATTCCTATGGGCATTTTTAAACTGTGTAAAACAAATGGGAAATAATTGAATCAGCATATCTTCATTCATGTTTCCATAACCATATAGAAATAAAATAGTGTTTTGTTTTGTTTTTTCACTGTGTTTCATTGGGTCAATATACAGATGAGAAATATGGGTCATCCCCTACAGATGGTTAATTATGCTTGGATGATTACTGTATTAATCATATGTCCAATTAAAGGACTGTTAAACTGGAAGGGAACTCTTAATATGAACAACAGTTTTTATCTAGAGTTTACCGTAATGCTGAGACACAAGCTCCTTGTCAACCTAAAAAAAGTGGAGTAAAGAAACATCAAAATACTACATGGTTCAACTAAATTGCCTGGTTCCCTAGACAGGATATAAATGTTGGCTGTTGTGGGAGTTCTTTTCTTTCTCTTTTTCCATTTAAGTGGGTAAGATAGTTCTCCCTGCTGTTTATCCTTTGGGTTTTTTAACTTCTTGAGGTCATTTACACTCCATATGTTATTGGCTTTGACAAACACCCATCTTACAAATGATGCTCTGGAGAACTAAGCAAATAAAATTAGGCAGAATGTATTTTCTGCATAATTATTGTTTGTTCCTTGATGAGACATGGAATCTAGTCAGTGCCAAAAATATCTAGACCAAGGAGACAAGTGGGTCATGGAAAACACATCACCCCCTACTCATTGTCAAAGACCACAACCCTCCTCTAAAACGGGGTATCTTTGAAATATATTAAAACAAAAAGAACCACACTCTAGGAAATATGGTTTTCCTGTGAAAAAAGATGTTCAGCTCCCACATGCCTTATTTATTGGGGGTGGACAGGCAACCTGCAGAGACCCCTGAAGAAGTGGAAAATTGCTTCCTGGATCTGCCAGAGTTGGCCAATCCTGGTCTACACAGTGCATTGGCAATGCATTTACTCTAAGACAGTGGTTCTCAACCTGTGGGTTCCCAGGTGTTTTGACCTACAATTCCCAGAAATCCCAGTCAATTTACCATCTGTTAGGATTTCTGGCAGTTGAAGACCAAAACATCTGGGGACCCATAGGTTGAGAACCAGTGCTCTAAGACTGTAATACAGGCTGTGATAGTGTAAGAATGAGTGCCACATGCGTTCATTAATATGACCATCACTCATGATGTAGTCAGTCAGTTCACTTCTAGCCAAGATTCATCTTGCCAAATAGATTTTAAATGATGAATTTGTGGCCGCAAAGATATCCTGAAAAATATGACTGTTTCAAACTTTATAATGAACATGAAAGGAAGCTTGTTGTTTTCTTCTAAGCTGTCTTGAGTCCCATTATTGGGAGAGGAGCAGGATATAAATTATTTATTTATTTGGAGCATTTCTATCCCGTCCTTCTCAGCTCCAAAGAGGGATTCAGGAAGGCTACCAACAGCCACCAATTGGTGCCGAACAATAAAAACAAAACATAAAATACACTTAGCATACATTAAAAACAATTATAAATACATTAAAACCATTCGCCATTTCACGTCATCTTCCAAATCAATCCATTGCCATCAGCTAAAAACAATCCATCAAAACAATCTATTCTGCGAATGCTTGATCCCATAACCAGGGTTTGAGGTTCTTCCAGAAGGTCATGAGCAAGAGGGCAGATCTGATCTCATTCGGGGGGGGGGGTCCACAGCCGAGGGGCCACCACCGAGAAGGCCCTGTCTCTCATTCCCACCAAATGTGATTGTGATGGCAGCAGGACTGAGGGCAGGGTCTCTCCAGATGATCTTAAGGTCCTTGGGGGTTCGTAGAGGGAGATATGTTTGGACAGGTAAGCTGGGCTGGAACCGTTTAGAGTTTATAAATAAAGAATAAAATAAAACAAGTACGATATATAAAATAGGACTGTATCACACATTCATCACTTTTCCATTCTTCCTTGGAAGAGGAAGAACTTCAGAAGTTTATTAAGCAATCATAAGAAAGAAGAAGAGGAAGCCAAGCACAGCTAAGAGCTGTAGCTCAAGAGACTTCTCAAATCTCACTTGAAATTTGAGGACCCCCAGAGATACATGAATTCAGATATAGTTTTACATATTATGAACTGTTATGTGGCATTTTAAAGTCTTTATTTATTTGTTTTGTAATAGAGATCTGATTTAAAACAAATCAAAAGACGAGTACCTGAAGCATTTACTTCTGTACAGGGAGTTGGTTTTGAATTTGGATTAAGGGGGAAGGGTTACAGTATTAGGTGTTATTATTTTCAAAGTTTCTGTAGACACAGTCATACGTATGTTTTTATATGAATTGGTTAGATGAGCAAAATTCAGAATCCTAATTTTATAGTCCTATCTTTAGACTTGTAGTTATTGCAGTGAGTAAACTCTCTGAACAAGATCTTGACAAGAAACCATGTTTGGATTGCCATAAATTGGAAATAACTTGAAGGCAAACAACAACACTTTTCACTGTGCACAGCCTTCTGAAATACATTCTTACATGAGTAGCCTTACAATGTGATACGAATGCCACTAAATCTTGGCTTGGACAATGTCTGCACAATCACTTTTTGGAAAATGTGTTTCTAAGTGG